ACTTGTGTACTTGTCATTGGCAGCCATAAAAGTTTATGCAAACTAGTGGACACGCAAGTATTCATAGTTGTGATGTGTGAGGAAGGAAAATATAAAATTTGATCAAACTTAAAATCCCAACAAAAATCAGGAGATCCATATGCATGGAAGCATAGCTTCACTACGTAGAGGCAGGGCTCGTCTTCAGAAAAAGTTATATACACGTTTTTTTAATTTTTGAGCTATAATGAATTAGTATGAACTTTTCTAAAGATTTAGTGAGGTTTTAATCATTTTTAGAAAATAATTGAAACTCCTTATTTTTTAAAAATGACAGACTCACACGGCATGCACTGACTTATAATCTATGCAAAGAAAAGCTATGAAGTGAATCTACAGGAACAAAAATAAATAACATTTAGCTAATACATTTTAAAAATCGGTATGGCGCCCTCCAATTGATATTAGCATCTTGCAGATGACTATACTCATAATTACCAAACCAAAATGTGCAACATTGATGTCTAGATGCAGCTTGGAGCACATCTGTCATCCCATATCTTGGCCTATCTTGTTTGCAGTTGATCCCGCACTTGCCTCTCCCAGATTCATCCATTCGTTGAGCCCGGTACACGAACTGCTTAGGTTCAGGGCAAACTCCACCAAATTACCCAGAGTAGGATCTTGTATGATCAGGGACCACCCATCTCAATCATCTCCAGTAATTATAGCTCACAGAAAAAGCAGCATCACAAACATATAATGACTGAACATACTGTGTTTGTTGGAGTATTTGTAAAGAAAAATAAGAAAATTTGAGTTGGGCACTTGGAAAACATACAAGAAATAAGAAAATTTGGAATTACGTCAGGTGAAAAACTTCTCCACGAGCATACAAAGATAGTAGGAGCTCCGAGCTCCAAAACACCAACCACAAGTTTCTGAATGTTTAAACTGCCAGACAACATTATCCTACTTTTGCCTGTAGTTTTCATAATGGTAGAGCTGACAACTTCAATATAAAGATAGTCCAAGGCCCCACTCAGCAAGCAATTGAATAAATGTTTGCAGTTTCACGAGGAACATATCATTAAGCCAAAATGAAAATAATTGAGTTTAGTTCAGAACAGTTGCTATAACAAAAGAAAAATTAGCTCGTCTACATATAATGACTGCAGTGGTTGCTAACATACTTGAGTCTCCTGGCTAACTTATTTCTTCTACTACTTCTAAAAATTCTGCACAAAGGATGATTAGGTTGACAAAAGTCAGAAGTTCTAGAGGTTCACAAAAGGGCAGGACATAGCCAAATCCCAAACTTCACATGTTGTGAACCGTAAGATCATACTGAGATTAGCCTAATTGATCGACATGGATTCATCTATGTGACCTCCATTTGCAGCAACTTCCCTTTCTCTAGCATATCTAGCAGTAGCAGCGCTGCCTCAACCAGCAGCCAAACCGACCCACTGGTCCTCCAGATGTGCCCTTCATTTTTAGAAAAAAGTTATATCACTGAATTTGAAAAGTGACATCACATGGTTCAAACTGTACAAACCTGATGAGATGGTTCATTTTGTGATGGCAGTACCAGTGGAGGTATTGGAATATTCAGTTGTGTTTGGATGATCTACATAAAAAATTATAAGTGAATATTGGTTAGCTAACTTCACTAAATAAATCACATGACAGATAAAAACATGCAGGCATGTTATACATTTTTTATCCTGTTTGGCTAAGCAATAAGTTGCAGAAACTCACAATACTATCATATTATAAAGAAACAATTCTTGACATCATTCAAGCAAGAGGCAAATTACCATGGCCAAAGCAGCACAACCTTATTTCAAACAATTTGTTATCTCAATTTGTTGGCACCTCTGATAGTGTACTTCATTTTGTGACCCGACAATTGATGCTCGGAACTCTGAGAGTGTACTTCATTTGTCGGCGAGCCCTTGTTGCACATAACCTCAGTTTCCAATCTTCGTTGCACCACTTCAGTTCTGCAGCCAATGTGACTAACAAGGTTACTAAAACCAAATTAGCCACGCAAGGGAGCTACTTCTATGCTACACAAGCAAGAAGGAAACTAGCAAGCTACTAAAGCTAAACTAGTCACAAGAGCAACTACACAAGCACAATGTATGAAATGTAAATACAAGCTTGTGTTGCACGGAATGCAAACCACCAAGAAGATGATGAAGACAATGTTGACACGGTGATTTTCTCCCGAGGTTCACTTGGTTGCCACCAAGCTACGTCCCCGTTGTGTCGACCGCTCACTTGGTGGTTCGGCGGCTAATTGGCATCACCCGCCAAGGCCACACGTCGGGCACCGCAAGAACCTACCCCAAAAGTGAGGGTAGCTCAATGACACGCTCAACTTGAGTTGCTCTTCGCGATCCCCGTGGGGTGAGCACAATCCCCCTCACAAATCCTCCTCTGAAGCACCGCACAATCTTCTCATGTGCTTGAACAGAGTCACAAGCCACCAAGCTGTCTAGGAGGTGGCAACCTCCAAGAGTAACAAGCACCACCGGCTTGTAACTCGATCAACTAGTGCCACTCGATGCAACCTCACGATGCAATCGCACTAGAATCACCCACTCACTCGATTGGATGATCACTATCAAGCACAAGTGAGTTAGAGGGCTCCCAAGCACACCTACATGAGCCACCAAGGCTTAAGGGTGCTCAACAACTAGTAAAAGCCCGAGCTCCACCTCTATTTATAGCCCCCAAGCCAAATAGAGCCATTGGAGCAAAGCTGCTAGTTTCTACGAGGGCCCCAACGGTCGAATTCGAATGGCTAGAAACTAGCCGTTGGTCACCGGACAGGGGTGGCGGTGACCACCCAGGCCAACCCCTCGGATAACCACCTCTCTGGAAAAAAAGGGCAGTGCACCACCCTAGGCACGGCGGTGCCCGCGGTGGTGACCCCCTCGCCTTCTCCTGCTCTCTGCCAAAAAGGGGCAGTGCACCGGACAGCCCCTGGCGGTGCCACCGCCCTCCACACGGCGGTGCACGCCAGACATGGCGGTGACCGAGTCACCCACTGCTGCTCTCGACCTCGGTCTGGTGGGCACCGCCCTAGGGATGGTGGTGCCACTGGATAGGCAGTGGCAATGCCCCCCTAGGGCACCAACCAACTCCTCCCTCTTGGCCTCCAGGTGGGCACCGCCCTAGGGGTGGCGGTGCCATCGGACCAGGGGTGGCGGTGCCACCTAGGCAGCACTCCGAGCCCGGCTTTGCCTCCTTTCTTCATCTTTTGACTTCTCCTTCGCAAATGTGCTAACCACCAAGTGATCACCACCTTGTGTACGTGTGTTAGCTTTTCACAAATATTTTTCCAAAGGATTAGCACTCTTTTCTCAATGTCACTCGATCCTAACACGTATGCAACGTTAGATCGCTCAAGTGGCACTAGATGACCGATAAGCAAACAAGTTTGCTCCTCTTGATAGTACGGCCATCTATCCTAAATCCGGTCATACACTTCTCTACACAACCTTTGACCGGTGAAATGAAATGCCCTACAAATATACCTTTCCCTTGCGCATTCCATTCCACCTCCTTCGATGTCGATGCAACACATGCACCAACCAATCACCAAATGATATGATCCACTTTATATCATCATGTGACCGTATTGGTTCATCGATCTTAACTTCACTTGCTCTTCACCGTTGCCTTGGTCCATCGACGCCAAGTCATCACTCAACTTGCCCTTCACTCTTGCAACTGGTCCATCAAGCCAAGCCTTGTCTTGATCTTCTCCACCATGGTCACATGACTCAATGTCATGTCTCATGCAATGAGCTCATTCATCACATGTGTGAGCTTTGCACCAAGTTCAAGCCATCTAACCTCCATGGCATGTATTGCTCACACACATGTACCTGTGGACTAATCACCTACATATCTCACTCAAACACATATTAGTCCACCTAAGGTTGTCACTCAATTACCAAAACCAAACAAGGACCTTTCAGGCGGCCGCCGCAACGCCGTGTGAGGCCGGCGACGGTGGCTAGAGTGAGGGAGAGAGCAGGGCGGCGGCGGCTAGGGTGAGGGTGAGAGCAGCCTTGCATCTCGTGAGGTGCGCGCGGTTTGGGGAAGCGTGACCGCTTTAGTGTGGGGTATAGGGGTGTGCGACGGGGGTGTGGGAGTGGAGGGCTATGCAATGACCATATTACCTTTGGATGACTAAAATCAACTAAATTGATTATTTTCCAAATGCTTTGAGAGGCATTGCAAAGTATCCCCAACCACCGTAAAAGGTCTCGATAGATTAAGAGTCCTACTAGTTTTTCTGCCAAGGCATACTTCCAAAATGGTTGCCATCACATATTCTGGCCAATTCTCACCAAAGGATCACTTTGCAACCTTGTTGTAACCATTTTGTTGTGATCATTCATCACAGGAGAAGCCTCTGCTGATACACCCCTCACTTGGCATCATCGTCTCGAGATTGCTCTCGACTCTAGCCAGGGTTTGTAGGACTGTAATTTAGTAAAAGATATATTCCAGCATGTATTAACTTGTTGCTTATAATTATACTAACTAGATATGGAATGACCAAAGATTTTTGAGTTTTGACAAACGAGTTGTTCGGCTGATGGTTTTTGCGGCTGATAAGCCGGCTGATGCTGTTTTGTTGTGAAAGAAAAACAATGTACAATGGCTGATAAGTCGGGCTGATAAGTTCAAGCGAACCAGCTTCTACCCTTCAAACTAATGATTCACTAATTGAATTCACATGTGGATGCATGATTGGAGTATCTACATAAATCATGCCAGCCGCCACTAATTCATAGGGATTTGAAGCCAAAGAACATTCTTCTATTTGCTAATCTTAAAGCAAAGATAGCTGACTTTGGGCTCACGGAGGCGTTAAACGATGAGTCCACGACCCATGTTACCACCCATCCTGCAGGCACGCCTTGGGGTATCTTGACCATGAATGCTACAATACATCTCAGCTCAGTGAGAAGAGTGATGTATATAGCTTCGGCGTCATGCTACTAGAGCTCATCACAGGCCAGCCACCAGCAGTTTCCATCAGTGACACCGAGAGCATCCACACTGCACACTGGGTGCGTGAGAAGCTCTTGGAGGGCGATATCACAACCATTGCTGATCCAAGGATGGATGGGGAGTATGATGTCAACTCTGTCTGGAAAGTTGTAGAGTTGGCACTTAAGTGTCTGAAACAACCATCAACAGAGCAACCGATGATGACGAACATTGTGGCTGAGCTCAAGGAGAGCTTGGAGCTGGAGGCGTCCTATGCAATGGGTTACTACAGCTCAGCCCCGAGCATCACACTCGATCTCAGTGCAGCAAGTGTTGACTTGCATGTTGATGCTCATTGCTCAACCAAGTGATCATCCAGGACGTAACTCATCAAAACCTCAATCAGCAGCCACTCAAACTGGGCATGAAAGTTTGGTGTAGATAAGAAAACAAAGGGACTCAAGAACCAGCAAGGATATAAGTCTAGAATATCAAGAAATACATACAAGTATCCTATCAAATATTTGGAACAGAGCACAACTCATGTTGTAATACAGCCCTTGTACAAAGAAATTGGTAATACAGAATACTATTCTAAACACTATGTCAATGAGGAATTTCATCAACAGCTACCTAATGCAAACATGCAGTTTGTGCATTAGCAATTTTCAGTTCCTCTATGTCCGTACTCCATAGCATAATAGCATGTTATATTCACCTACACTAAAAATGCAGATCAGGCATGTTGCCATTGCAGAAAAATGCTCATGGTCTGCTAATGACAAAACAATGCACCATAGAGAAACTTCTGATGGGAAGAGCTCCTGCCAGTTTTTCAAAAAAAAAAGAAAAACTTATGATGAATACACCCCACCAATGACAAAAGGAAAACACTACAGACATGCAGTTTGTGCACAAAATTTCTGACAAACCCTAACCCTCCCATCTAAAAGTAGGATAAGTGAGTTTAGACCCATTTCTCTCCTGAACTCTTTTGTAAAGATCCTCACCAAGCTCCTTGCCAACAGACTTCAACCTTTCATAACCAAGTTAGTGCATCTGAACCAATATGGTTTCATCAAAAACAGATCCATTCAAGATTGCCTAGCATGGTCTTTTGAGTATCTACACCCCTGTCATAAGTCAAGAAGGGAATTGGTTATTTTGAAGTTGGACTTTAAAAAGGCTTTTGATAGAATTGAGCACAAGGCAATGTTGGAAATCATGAAGAAGAAGGGTTTTGGAGAAAGATGGATCTCCTGGATGAAACTGATCTTCAACACTGGCACCTCTTCAGTACTCTTGTATGGAACTCTAGGAAAAGTTTTCCACTGAAGAAGGGGAGTTAGGCAAGGGGATCCCCTATCCCCCCCTATTGTTTGTATTAGCTGCAGATCTCTTACAATCTGTTATTAACAGGGCAAAGGAACAAGGACTGCTAAACCTTCCAATACCCCTCCAGCATTACTCTGATTTCCCAATATTGCAATATGCTAATGACACCCTTATCATCATGGAGGGGTGTAGTAGGCAACTCTTTTTCCTGAAGGACATCCTTAATTCCTTTGTTGTCTCCACTGGTCTGAAAGTCAATTTTGCAAAAGTCCATGCTGGTCCCAATTAACATGACCACTGAGAAGTTACATCATCTCGCAGCAACCTTTGGATGCTCAACTGGAAGTCTCTCTTTCACCTATCTTGGGCTCCCTTTAGGTCTGACCAAGCCAAAAGTTGAGGAGTTCATGCCCTTAGTAAACAGGTGTGAGAGGAGATTGGTCAGCACTTCCCTTTTCCTTTCTCAGGCAGGAAAGCTTCAGCTCACTAATTCAGTTTTTACTGCCCTTCCAACATTTTTCATGAGCACCTTCTCACTTCATGTCATAATAAGAGAGCAAGTAGATAAATATAGAAAGCATTTCTTGTGGAGAGGAGTTGAAGATACCAACAGGATCAATGGCAAAGCTGCCTGGCACATGGTCACAAAGTCAAAGGAAGAGGGGGGGCGCCACTCGGTGCTGCCTCCCATCTTCGCCTCCGTCGGGATCTGGGAGAAGAGAGAGGGACGAGTCCGGAGGTTGAACAAGCTTGGCGAATGATGGGGGGCCCTCCCAGCGTCGTTCCTAGGCGGATCTGGAGGAGGGCGAGCTTTGGGCGGAGGCTGCCGACCTGCAGTGGGAAGATGTCCTTGGCCGTGGTCCTATGGAGCGTGTGGCTCTCAGTGACTCGGAGGACTATCCCGATTCTGATGTGCCCGAGTCACCGCCGCCGCCGTAGGGGAAGGGGAAGAGTGTGATGGAGACTGCTGGTAAGCGTCAGCGGGCGCGTCGTCATCGTCACAGCAAGCGCCGCACGGAGGGATTCATGGCGGCCGCGCGACGTTCCCACCTGGCCATGGTGCCTGATCTGCCGCCCCCACCGCCGCGGCGTGCTCTGGTCCGGGGCGGGAGGTCCCCGCCGTCGCACCCTACGCGGCCTCGGGGACAGCCGGACCGGGAGGGGTTCTTCCAGGTGCGTTCCAGGCGCTGCGATAGGCGCCACAGTCCTCCAAGGTCACCGCCGAGACCCATCCCACCGGAGCTGGAGGGCTTGTGCTTCAACTGCCTCCAGCCGGGCCATGTCAAGGCGTAGTGCCGCGCCAGGCCGAGATGCTACAACTGTTGGGGCGAGGGCCACCACGCTGCGAGCTGCCCACTCCCCCGCTCCTCGGCTGTTGGGGTGAAGCGTGGCCGCTCCCGCGGCGGTCTGGGGACGCTCGCCGGGTCGCGCCGCGACGCCCGGATGGTGCGCGCCATCGGCCCAACTCGGCGGACACCGTCTCCGGGGGTTCGTTGTCAGCAGGGCGGTCCACGTCGGTGCCTTACTGCTGTCGGCATCCATCGCCACCGGCTGCGCCGTCGCCACCCCCACCACCTCCGCCACCTGTCTTCCAGCCCGCCGCCGGCACCAGCTCGGAGTTTGACAGGGGCTCCAGAAACCTTGCCGACCCTGCTATTCGGGACCCGCGCGTGCCCACGGTGGTTATCCCGCGTTCCACGGAGATCCAGGCGGCCGAGGATGCGCTTGAGCTGGCCCTGGTGGGCCTGGTGGGGGGCACCAGGCTGGTGGTTTCTACGGCCACAGTCTACAGCTTCCTCTACTCTCAGTTTGAGCTTACGATGAACGATGTGGAGTTGCGGCGGCACCACCCCGAAGATTTCATCACACATTTCCGCCGGCGTGCGGACCATGACCGTGTCCTTGCTTCGCGGCCGGGTGGATACCTTCTGCCCCTCACCTGGAGACCTTGGCAACGAACTTCACTGGCCACTGCAGAAAGCTTCAATTTTCAGGTGGTTGTGGGCATGCTGCGTGTACCGCTTCACACGCGCAATGTGGCTACTGTCCTAGATCATCCTGGGCCCTTCTTGCTCGGGGATTGAAATCACAAGGCTTTGAGACATACCTGATGATGACGACCGAGAATTCTTTGTCAAGGCATGGTGCAAACATCCGGATCTCATCGAAGACGAGCAGACCATCTCAATTCCGGAGCCTGTTTTGCCTGTTGCAGCTATGGGCAATCCTGCCCCGCCACGCCTCTTGCAGTACCAGGTTAGGATCAGGGTGGTCGCCTTCCAGGATTGGACCACACCCCCTGCCTCACCTGGTGATGATGATCGTAATGATGATAGTGATGGCCCTGATGATGGTCGTGCTGATGATAACTTTCAAGACCGGGGGGAGCATTGGCCAACACCGCGGCGCGATAGTGATGATGACTCCGGTGATAGCAACTGTAATAATTATCACCCAACATGCTACTACCCACCAGAGGAAGCGGGTGGACGTGATCCATCCATGTCTGTGCAGGTGGGCGAGTTCAGATGCCCCTGTGCGCCGGAGGTCGTTGCTCGGCACACTGATGTTGATGGCACGCGCAAGGAGTCTGTGGAGGCTCCCGAGCGTTGGGAGATGATGTCTGCACCGCGTACTCCTTGGACGCGGGCATCAAATTTTACGACGGTCAACACTCCATCACCGTGGATTGATAGGCAGCTGGGCTCCCCTACCACCGGCGTCGTGGCGCGGTTCCTGAACGTCGCGCCACTGCTCCTCCACGCGGGTGTTTCAACACTCGAACCTGTACATGTTGATCAGGACTGGTGGGCTGATCTGGCGGTGAATGAGCTTTCAAATGATGTCAGTGCTTAAGCGTGTGTTGGTCAGGAGGGGGCCACTTCCGGGTCGACCTCGAACTCGGTGGACTGGTGGGCGACCTGATTGAGGCTGAACTTGTCTCCACCACATATGTTGCGGCCAGCCCAGTTGTTGATGGGGCTGGACTTCATGAGGAGGATGAGAGCGCTGTGGAGGAACCTGTTTCTGTAGTGGATGCGGCCAATGATGCGGCCACTGTCATGGATGCGGCAGCCGCTACACAGGCTGCGCTGGAGGCAGAGGTGTGCGTCCCCATGCACACGCCCCTGATCCGCGCGGGACCTAGGCCTCGGCGGGCGCGAACGCCGGTCTCCATCCCATCGCTGCGACGGAGTGGCAGGATCGCAGCAAGGCCAAGGGCACCAAATGCAACGGTGCAGGCGCAGCTGCTGCTCCTTAAGAAGCTGGGAGTCGCTGTGGCGGAGGGTGAGCATGCCTCTGAGGTTGAGAAGAAGATCAAGCTGGCATTCAGGGGAGATATGTCGACCAGGAAAAGGGAGGCACTACAACTCTTCCTTGAAAAATGGAATTGACCTGACAACTGTGGACCTAAACCTCCATGGTCTGGAGGACGCGGCGCTCTGAGCGCTGCCATCACACGCGGATGTCGCCCAATTGGTTATCCAATGTTGACGACCTTCAGTTGCTTCGTCTGGAACGTCCGCGGTCTCAATGATCGCGCACGTCGTAATGTGGTTCGCGAATTGCTGCTGCTGCACAAGCCGTCGTGTGTGTGTATCCAGGAGACCAAACTCTCCAGCTTATGTAATTTGCTTGCGAATGAAATTCTAGGACCTGCTTTCGATTATGACTTCCTACCCGCGACTGGGGCGGCTGGCGGGATCTTACTGGCCTGGGTTAGGGGGAAAGAAAGGAACTCCCGCACCTTTAATGCTGTTGCATCCACGCCTGGGCTGCTGGTTCTCGCGATGCAGGAGGAGGCCGAGCGCTGGTGCTCGGCAGGGAACAGATGCCTGGGGCTGATCTTGGCGAGGTTGCAGTTCGTTTTGCCCTTTGTTGCAAAATTTGCTAAAATGTAAGCTTTGGTTGTGAATCCAGTAGTGCTAGGTTTTGGTAACCATGTCGTTACCATGGCTTGTTTTTAAAACTCTATCTGCTTAATGAAATATGCGCTACGGCGTGTTCTCAAAAAAAAAAGGAAGAGGGGGGACTAGGAGTACTAGATCTTAAAGCCCAAAATGAAGCCCTATTGCTGAAAAATCTCCACAAATTCTTCAACAAAGCTGACATTCCTTGGGTTCAGCTTATTTGGGAAAAACACTACAGGAATGACAAGTTACCAGATCACACTAAAAAGGACTCCTTCTGGTGGCGTGATAATCTGAAACTTTTGGACAAATACAAAGGTATGGCCTCAGTCACTACTTCAAATGGATCTACGTGTCTCCTCTAGGAAGATTGCTGGCAGGGACCACCGTGGAAATTATCCTTCCCTGAGCTTTACTCCTATGCCAAGAAACCAAATATTTCACTTGCTGCTGCAGTTTCTATTTTTCCATCTTCAGACTTGTTAGTTTCAACATGTTCAGAACTCACTTCAAAACTTTCAGATCAGGAAAACTTCAGCTCACTAATTCAGTTTTTACTGCCCTTCCAACATTTTTCATGAGCACCTTCTCACTTCATGTCATAATAAGAGAGCAAGTAGATAAATATAGAAAGCATTTCTTGTGGAGAGGAGTTGAAGATACCAACAGGATCAATGGCAAAGCTGCCTGGCACATGGTCACAAAGTCAAAGGAAGAGGGGGGACTAGGAGTACTAGATCTTAAAGCCCAAAATGAAGCCCTATTGCTGAAAAATCTCCACAAATTCTTCAACAAAGCTGATATTCCTTGGGTTCAGCTTATTTGGGGAAAACACTACAGGAATGACAAGTTACCAGATCACACTAAAAAGGACTCCTTCTGGTGGCGTGATAATCTGAAACTTTTGGATAAATACAAAGGTATGGCCTCAGTCACTACTTCAAATGGATCTACGTGTCTCCTCTGGGAAGATTGCTGGCAGGGACCACCATGGAAATTATCCTTCCCTGAGCTTTACTCCTATGCCAAGAAACCAAATATTTCACTTGCTGCTGCAGTTTCTATTTTTCCATCTTCAGACTTGTTAGTTTCAACATGTTCAGAACTCACTTCAAAACTTTCAGATCAGTGCTGATAAGGATGTCTGGTCATACATCTGGGGCAGCTCCCTTTTCTCTTCTAGAAAGGCTTATCGCCACCTCAAAGGTACCAGCCCGACCCACCCAGTCTTTAAGTGGCTCTGGAAATCCTTCTGGTTGCTGGCCCAAGATAGATTAAGTACCAGGAACATCTTGAGAAGGAAGAACCTTCATTTACCCTCTTATTCATGTGTTCTTTGTGTTGATAATAGTGAAGAAACAGTAGAGCATCTTTTTTTACAATGCAGTTTTGCCAAAGCCTGCAGTTACAAGCTTGGACTAACAGTAGACGACACTCTCAGCCCTTTTCAAGTGCTTGAAAGCTTCAGAGGCCAGCTAGCTGTGCTGTTCTTCATGGAAATCCTGTCTATTATGAGCTGGAGCATTTGGACGATCAGATCAGGAATGATGTCATTTTCAGGGGTATTCAGGAGAGCAGTCAGAGATGTCTTGAGACCTTTAAGCAAATCTTTGGCCTGCTTTTGTGGTGCGCAAAGAAGAAATACTTTCCTTTAATTGGATTATGGCTAGAGCACATTGTGTAATCAAGCTTATATTTTCCTTTCCTTTTTTGTCTCTTGAGTCGCTCTCTTCTCCTTCCCCCTTTCCTTTGTATTCTCTTCTGGTAACTTCCTTGGTTACGGTAATAAAATTTCAGTAGAGGCCTCGGCCCCTCCTGTTTCTATTAAAAAGCTCAGACCATCCTGCAGAAATAGGAATTCTGGAGTCCAGGCAGAGTCCTGGAAGTATGCTAATGTCGAACTACCTAGATGAAAAACACAATTCTTAAACCAATTGGGGTTCAATGATAATTTTTGTTATGAGGAAATTCATTCCAGCAGCTCAATAAAACAGTTCAGCCATAGGCCTTCATCATTTTCTAGTAAACATTTTTTCCCCACAGGGGGCTCGTCACATTTATTTCTATAATTTTCTAAATTAAAGTATGCCAAAAAATTGACAAGACTCTTCCAACATATGCTGGAGTCTCCTAATATTATACGAGGTGGTTTCCAAGCAATACAAGATGCATAATATTGCCTCAAAGTGCAATTTTCTAAAGAGAATATAATGTCTCACAAATACCAATTAAATACCCTGTACTTAAGATTATGATTGCTTCGTCGTGGCATCAACGGCTTGCATCGTTAGATATTAGCGTCCTCCGTCGTTAACTGGGGCGAGGTTGGCAGCTCATGATATGACTTTTGTTTGGGGCCAATCAGCAGCGTTAGCACGTTGACTTTCGTCTCGCATGAAGCCTGCAGGAATGCTTTAGTTTCGTGGTCATTTTCCCTCCTTCCTGACAATAATTTAGCACTTACGATGTTTTATTTTCTAGTAGGACCAAAAAAAAAGATGTTGACCTGCATGCATTACCCAGGTCTAGCTGAATGCGTGCTGAGACCTGATCTGAGAGACGACGCTGACAGAGTGACAGGAGAGGAGGCGACCATGGAGTTCTTGTTCTTGGTCCTCCTATGCTTGTTGGTGGCAACATCGGAGCTTATCGCTCGCATCCATGGCCAGGTCGATTCTCTGGGTAATGGACAAGCGCGCTTTTCGTTCTTGTGAATTGAATTCATTTCGTGCCAATTAATCATATATTTATTTGCTTACACTTACACATGCACGCGCGGCCAGGTTTCATCAGCATCGACTGCGTCATCGCCGCCAACACGTCCTACTCCGACCAGTCGACCCGCGGCCTGCGCTACGTCTCCGACGCCGGCTTCGTCGACGCCGGCGACGGGCTCAACGCCTTGGTGCGGCCGCCGTACGACGACCCGGACATGGCGGAGCGCTACCGCACCGTCCGCTACTTCCCCGGCGGCGGCGCCGGCGCGCGCAGCTGCTACACACTCCGGCCGGTCACGCCGGGCGGCAAGTACCTCGTCAGGACCGCCTACTGCTACGACAACTACGACGGCCTGAACGAGCTCCCCGTCTTTGACATCCACCTGGGCGTCAACCACTGGGCTACCATCAACGTCACCGCAGTCGACGACAAGTACATCCACGAGGCGGTGGTGGTGTCGCAGGCCGACTTCCTGCAGGTGTGTGCCTGTGTGCTGAGAGCTGTTGCATGCGTATGTGTGCCTATGCTCTTAGATCACCTAAGAACCAATGTTGACTATAAAATCACATTTCATAATTTACAAATTCCATCGTCAAACTTGCGATAATAATTTCTAGCGCTAGCTACCAAAAAAGGTACAATCGATTTATTTTTCTACACAGTTTTATTTCTTTCATTTTTTTTGGCTTATAAAAATAACAAAGGCCTCCTGATGACTGTTTTTTTATTAATGGATTTTATATATTTTTTAGATAACGGAAAAAAAAATTCAGATCCATCCTCCAAAGAGAGGAATCATATCAACTTATTACACAAGTTAACCAACACGCTTAAATATTAGTGGATTTTCTATATGTGTTTAATGAACCACAAGATTACATAAGCTAGTTATACACCTTTCGTATATTGTAAAAAATTTGGATATTTTTCGTCATTGTCATATTTATCCTTTAAGGATGTTTTTTGGCTGATCTCTCCGATCTGCATCTTTTGCACCATTGCTTAAGTTGATTTCTGAAAAATAGGAATTTGGCGTTGTATGCATCCCTACTGTTAGCCGGTTGTTTGCATTTCAATAGTTACATCAACCCAAGTCAATTGGATCAATTAATTGTGGTTACATATTTACATGTATAGATTTTTGTTTTTCCTTTTGTCAAAAATTTTCACTAGGGCCATTCTTCTTTTTTCTTAAACTTTAAAGAATGGTGGTCATCTCATTTGATTATGTAGTAGATTTATCCAAAACATAATCTGGAAAATTAAAATGTCTTTTATCCTGAAAATAAGACACATACTGTCTGAAAGTCTGAAGCGATCCAATTGAATTTTGCAAGCAGCTTTCATAATTTATTTTCTGTCTTCCGAATACTAAATCTTTTTTCTACTCTCTCTGCTCCAAATTGTAAATCGTTTTAGTTTTGTTCTAAGTCAAACTTCTCTAGTTTTGAACATGATTATAGATAAAAATACATAATATTTGCAATGTCAAACTAGATCCATTACATACACCATGAAATGCATTTTGATATTTCATTTATTTGGTATTGTGGATGTTAAATTTTTGTATATAAATTTGGTTAAAGTGAGTCAAGTTTGACTTAATAAAAACCTAAATCTGAAACGGAGGGGGGCACTTTTTTAATAAAATATCCCACAGGCCAAACGATCTTCCTTGTGATACTGAACGAAAATCTGACGCTTACAGTAGAGATTACTGAACTATAATAAATCTGACGGACTTTAACAGTTACCATCAACTAGCAATGGTCTACCCAAGGAAAAGGTCAGCGAAGCTTGAACATAACTGCCAGACCCCTTTATATTACAGTCCCCATCATACTAAACAATCAGACTTTTAACAAGCACTTAAAATAAATCTGACGTCCAGATAATGCTGAATATGTAAACAGCAGTTGACCAGAGAAAAACACAAGTGTCTTTTGATCAGCTCACTGTAATTTATTGTACAGGTGTGTCTGGTGAACAGAGGACTAGGCACACCGTTTATCTCTGGGCTTGATCTGCGCCCACTCAAGGAAACCATGTACCCGGAGGCCACCATCAACCAGTCCCTGCTTATGCTGAGCCTTTCCCGGCCATCAACCACATTCGTATTCAACCGGTACCAGTTCTGGCCGTCCGCCTATCAAGTTTACAGGTGAGTTTGAGATTGACAGGTTGTCCAGGTCAGCTTGCAACAGCATTCCTCTCTATCAACAACTCTGATGACGCATGATGTGAGCTTCAAATCGGTTTCTTGAAAACAACAGGTACCCTTTTGATCTATATGACCGCCTCTGGCAGACATATGGTGATATCACCAGCTGGACTAACATAACAACCTCAATCAGCGTTGATGTCTCAAGGATCACCAGCTTCGACAAGCCAACGATGATACTGGAGAGTGCCTCCACTCCGGTGAACGCAACCCAGATGGACTTCACATGGAGCTCAGATCCCTCCATAAACAGTGATGACACACCGTACCTTTTGATGCTCTACTTTGCAGAGCTGCAGAGGGTGCCAAGCAATGCCCTGAGAAGGTTTGATATCCTTTTTTTTTTCTCGAACAGCGCAGGAGAACTGCGTGTCATTTCATTAAGGTAGAGAAAGAATTACAAAGGTCCAAGTGACCCAACAGCCCAAGTTTTCCAGATCCTTCTCCAAGACCCAAACTTGATGGTTCCCTCAAAGAAGGCTGCATAAGCTGATTTACTGGTGTAGGAACCATCCTGAGTTAATTTCCATCTATATTGATTTGGAATCTCCGGATGCAAAATAAATCCATCCACAATGTCCCAAATACGAAGGTACTCAAGCATGACCACAACTGTACGTGCTCCTTTAATATCCTGAACCCAACTATTATGATGCAAGGCTTGTGCCACCGTCCTTCTCTTGGCTGTTCGATTTGGGACTGCCTTGAACAGGTTAGGAGCTATTTCAGCCATGGTATGCCCCCCCAGCCATCTATCTTTCCAGAACAATATCTCCTCTCCATTTCCTACTATGGCATCGACTGCAACATTGAAGAGAGCCTCGGCTTTATGAGGAACAGAGATAGGAAGGCCGGCCCAAGGCCTTTCAGCATCTGTCTTTTGCGCCCACAGCCACCGAATCTTCAGTGCACATCCCAGAAGTTCAAGATTATGAATCCCAAGACCTCCATACTCAAGTGGTCTTTGCACCTTTTCCCAAGCTACTAGGCAATTGCCACCATTGGCCTGCTGGTGACCCTTCCAAAGGAAGCCTCGCCGTTTTTTGTCAATAGCCTTAATCACCCATTTTGGAAGGTCCAGGGCAGTTAAAAGGTATATTGGGACAGCAGTCAGCACAACCTTCACCATGACTAGCCGCCCAGCTCTGTTCATAAGAGAAGCCTTCCATCCAGGGAGATAATCTGCCACTTTATCCACTAAAGGTAACAGCACCTCTTTAGTTGGTTTTCCAATTGAGAGCGGGAGGCCAAGATACATGCAGGGAAAAAACTTTATAGAACATGAGAGGATGTCTGCCGTGAGAGCCAATTCCTCATCAGTACAGTGAATAGGGGAAACTGAGCTCTTAGCTAGATTAGTTCTAAGCCCAGAAGCATGTCCAAACAGATCTAGGAGGTGCTTGATGGTGATCAGATCCAAATTATATGGTCTCAGGAAAATTACCGCGTCGTCAGCATAAAAGGAGACCCGATGCCTTGCTTGCTGAATGGCCAGAGGCTGCAACAAACCCATCAAAGTAGCGCGATTGACCAAAGAATTTAGGACATCCATAACTAGAATAAACAACATTGGTGACAGCGGGTCACCCTATCTGAGCCCACGGTGATGAAAAATAGAGTCCCCAGGCTCTCCATTAACCAAGACTTGTGTCGAAGAAGTGGACAGGATCAGACAAATGAGGTCCCGCCATCGCTGACCAAACCCCACCTTGCACATGACCTCCAAGAGAAACGACCAAGACACAGAATCAAAAGCCTTGGAGATGTCCAGTTTAAGGAGGATATGCGCCTCTTTCTTCTTATGCAGGGTTTTAACCATCTGTTGGACCAGCATGAAATTGTCATGGATTTTCCTTCCTCTCACAAAAGCGCTATGATTTGCAGAGATCAAGGAAGGCAGCATAGGGGCTAGCCGATTAGCCAAGATCTTCGTCACCAACTTGGCAAAGCTATGAATCAGGCTTATAGGTCGAAAATCCTTCACTTCCACTGCATCCACTTTCTTTGGTAGCAGGGTTATAAAGGCTGTGTTCAAGAGCCGAAATTTGAAGACATGGCCTTGCTGGATGGCCTCCAACACCCTCATCACATCACCTTTAATAATGCTCCAGCAGGATTTATAAAACCTTCCTGTGAATCCATCTGGCCTTGGGGCCTTATCCAAGGGCATATCCTTTATGGTAGCCCACACTTCCTCCTCAGAGAAAGAAGCATCCAGCTCAGATAAATTATGATGTTGAATGTTCAAAATATCTAGATCAAGAGTGTAATCTCTTTCTTCAGCTGTTCCAAGAATGCTCTCATAGAAATCATCCACTGCTTTCTGTTTCTCATCTTGTGTGACAACCACCTGATTACCAACTTGCAATTTTGAGATGAAGATCTTCTTCTTCCTGTATCTAGCTTGTTGGTGGAAGAAAGCAGTATTGGCGTCACCTTCCCGGAGATAAAGAAATCTAGAACGTAGCCGTGCAATGGTTCGCTCAAGGGAAGCCAGACCAAGACAATGAAGTTTGAGTTTCTTTCTGAGCCATTCCTCACGATCAGAGAGTGCCCTTGAATCTCTTTCAATTTCCAAACGGTGAAGTATTTCCTTGGCCAATTCTAATTGGGCTTTAATATTCCCTACTTTCCGTTGTCCCCATTTTTGCAGCCCCTTACTGAGCCGCTGCAATTTAAGGAAGATGCACTCCACAGCACAAGTAGACTGCACTGCAGCCTCCCAATTCTGTTTAACAGCATCAAGAAAGCCAGGCAATTTGGTCCAGAAGCTTTCAAAATGGAATCTTCGCTTGCCAGATGTACACACCTTCAAACCAAGGATAAGTGGGCAGTGGTCTGAAACCCCGGCTGCTGTGCTTTGGAGTACAGCATCAGGAAAAATATTTTCCCAATCACCACAACAAAAAGCCCGATCCAGCCTCACCAAAGTAGGCGATCTCCTCTCATTGGACCAAGTATATTTACGACCCAAGAGCGGAATCTCCTTGAGATCATTGTCATCTAGAAAACGCCTGAATCTTCCCATCATAGCTCTATCTAAATTTGCATTATTCTTGTCAGCAGCCTGATAAATCAAATTGAAATCTCCGCCTAAGATCCAAGGACCATTGCAAAGAGCCCTGATATTCCTTAATTCTTGCAAGAACAACACTTTCTCATCATCCCCTTGTGGCCCATAGACGCCAGTGAACCACCAATTGCGACCCTCTTGCTCCGCAAACAGAACAGAAGCTGAATAAGTGTCAATTCTTGATGCAATTGCCTGGCAAGAACACCCCTTCCAAGCAATCAGAACCCCTCCTCTAGTCCCATTGGCCGGGAGCGCGATGAAATTATCATACGCAGAGCCACAAATCGAAAGGAGAAGATGTTGGGACATGTTAGCGACCTTGGTTTCTTGTAAACAGATGATGTCAGCATTACTGGATATAACAACATCTCTGACAGAATTCCGACGATCCCTGTTGTTAAGACCTCGGACATTCCAAACTAGAATGGTAGAAGGATTCATTTGAGCAAAGAAATAAGACGACCATAACAAAGAGTCTAACCTTACAACATTGTAAGGACATCTGCAGCCCGCACCTGCTCACCTGTTCCCACTTCCCAGCCAAAAATAGCAGCTAAAGCACAGACGTGGGAATCAGAGAGTAATGGCCCGAAGAGCTTACTATAAATGTCTTGAGCTTCTGGCTGAATGATCTCCCTTTCTTCAAAGCCAAGCTGCCGCATCACCCTCATTTGAGTCACTGAAAGCACCGGTCCCGGCGAGCATGGAGCGGCACCAGCGACCCGCCTGCTGCGCCGCGGTAGAGACCCCGAAGGAGCGGCCTTTTTTCGCCGCTTCTGGATTACAGGCAGAGGGACGAGCCTGTCCACCGGCTTGCGCACCTTGTCGAGATTCTGGAGCCGGGACTTCGCCCCTGAACCCAGGGAAGGAGCATCCGCAACGGCCGGGGAGGCTGGGGCAGGGGACCTAACATGGCGCCGCCGCCTGGAGTAAACTCGGACCTGCGCCCCCCCAGCATGTAGCGGTTGAGCAGGCGGCGGGGCAGGGTCCGACGGAGCAGCCGTCGACAGGCGCTCCCCAACCAGCGGCGTAACAGGCCTTGCTTCAGATATTGAGAGGGGGAAATCCAGCGACGGCGGATTGAATTCCGGGATGACGGGCGCAGGGTAGCGTTGGGGCGAGCGTGGCGAGGCCGGAGTGGGAGCTTCATCCGTCGCCTTGCCGACCGGCGGATCCGAGCACGGCACAGTCAGCTGGCCGGGGAAGCTCCCTACCGTAGCCTCACCAAGACCAATGTGATCCATAATAGAGTTACAGCCCAGGACCGGGGAATCCAAAAACACACAACGGGGGCCCAATTCCATCCCCGTGTGTGCCACTTCCGCTGGGCCAGAAACAACCGATGACCCAGAGTTCTCTTCACGCAGCATACAAGTAGGAGAGGCCCTCGAGTAGATCAAGGGCTCCCCAAGAACACGCTCGATAGCATCGGTATCTGAACCCGTGGCATTAGCTGCCGCCACCTCATCGGATGTTGGGACGTCCTCGGGACCCCGCGCCGCCACAACGAGGCCCGGGCGGCCAACGTCCCACTCCTGCAAGGCCGCCACGGACCCCAAGGCCTCGGCCAACAGCAGAGAGCACGCCGTCAGAGGATGAGACGCGTGCGACTTCCTAAGAACCGATTGCATCCCCCGCCCCTGGACCGATCGCCGCCGAGAACCACCGCCATGATTGGAAAGCTCCCCACCAGCCGGTCCTGAGGGCAGTTGCGATGGGGAACGAACACGACGTCGCCGTCTAGCACAGTCACCATCATCATCATCCCCCCCATCAGATGGAGGAGGATTCGGCTCCTCAGGTTGGAGAGCGACTGAATACCGTATGTTGACAGGGTAAGATAAAACCCTCTTGACCGGAGGATCCTCGATGACAGCCATTGGAGGCTCAACCACCCATAATTCCTTTGACAAGGGAAGAGCAGACGGGTCTGAACACCAGGCCAAACACCGAAAGCACGAAAGATCCACGAGCCCTAGGGTGTCAGGATGCACCTGCTGAACCCAAGCGTGGGGACTCAAGAAACGATCCACCGTAGATGTTTCCCAAACATGATTTGGAATGCCACGCAGCTCAATATGAAGCAGAAACGGTAGAACTCGACCTTGGGCACCAGCCAGACGGCTCCATCGCTTGCACAGAAGGCGAAAATTGAAGCCAGAAGAACTGATCGGTTGCCGAAGCCCAACCAGACGCTCGACCAAAGCTATGTCAGGAAGGATCAGTAAGTAACTTGAGGAGGAAGCTTGACGAAGCACCAAGGAGCTGGCAACAACATCAATTCTTTCCGCGATCACCGCAGCAACCTCCTCCACTGCAGCCAATGGTTCATTGCCGATCATAGACACCGTAACTGCATTTGCTAGGTCCTCCTCAGCCCTTGCCACCTGCTCGGTCCAATCAATGATGCACGGAGGAGGCTTCAAAGCTTCACAGGCCGTCTGCGATGAAGCCATGTCCGGCAATGGATCATCAGCCTGGTCGCGGTCGGACTCCTGCACAGAGCGACGCCGGAACCGCGGACGTCGACGACGACGCTGCTGCCCTGCCCGCGTACCTTGATCTTGGGCCTGCTCCTCCAAAGGGCCCTGCGTTGAACCATCACCACCAGCAGCGCCCGCCGGAGAAGACCGTTGCGGGGTGGCAGTACTGGTGGCTTCATGGGCCGGAGAAATCCGTCGGCACACGGGGACGCGGGCAGGAGTAGGTTGACTAGAAGCGTTCTGCAATATACCAGCGCCACCAGCAGCCCCCGCCGGAGAAGGCCGTTGCGGGGGAACAGCGTCGGTAGCCTCATTGGCCGGAGATATCCGTCACCAAACAGAGATGCGGGCAGAAGCAGGACGAGCAGAAGCGTTCCCGCCGCGGATCACCGCAGGACACACATAGGAACGGTGGCCCTGGGATTGGCAACGGAAACAACGAGTCCTCTGGCGACAATGAGACGCCGTATGCGAAGTCGAGAAGCAGTTGAAGCAACGGCCAACCAGGTCCGCCGGGATTGAACGGCGCGGAGGACGGGCTACACGCCTAATCCGCCGCCGTGCGCCGCGTGACATCGCCTTCTGCCATCCCTGCGAGTTTGGACGCGTAGCGCCGGTCGAGAAGACCGCACCCCACTGCCCAGGGTGATCCCGCCGGAGAAGCGTTATCCTAGGAACCCAGGAGGTCGCAGGAACCATGGCCGCCGCAAAAGTCGTCGAGAGAGGAGCGCCTGCCACCACCACGGCAGCCTTTCCACCGCCCGCTGCCGAAGACGCCGCACAAGAAGCGCGCGAGGAAGAGACCACGACGTCACGGAAGGATGGCGGCGAGCCGCTAGGACTGGCGGAGGAGCTCGGCGAAACAGAGCACCAACGCTCCTGCTTGGAGCGTCCGCCCAGAACCAGCAGCTCCTCCTGGGAGGGAACAGGGGAGGAAGAACCCACCGTCTTGGGATGGATAGGAGGCGCGGGCGCCGTTTTGGTGGCCGCCGGATTCGGGATGAACTCCGGCGCGGGGCTGGTGGGAGGTGAGACGGTGGGGGAGGGAGAGGAGGGGTCGGGAGCCCACATCCTCAGGACTGGCACACGGTTTGATATCCTTATTGACAATGCTACATGGAATGGCAGCCAGCGCTACACCCCCAAGTACCTTTCTGCAGAGGTTGTGAAGAGGCTGGTGCAGGGGCCAGGCCAACACGATTTCTCGCTTGTTGCCACACCAGATGCCACGCTTCCTCCAATCCTGAATGCATTTGAGATATATTCAGTAAAGACGATGAATGGGGTCATGACAGATGATGCAGAAGGTACCAATTAACACTTTCGCTTGGTTAAAGTGTCATCGTCAGTCTCTTGCATCCATCAGGGTTGTGTGTTAGCACAGATGGAAACTTTCTAACCAAAAGCAAACAGGGTCCATAACTTTACTAGCATTGACATGCAAATTCTGATAATCAATTAAAATTTTCATGCTTACTTCTGAATGATCACAGTGCAGCAAAGCATGAATTCAGAATTACCTTTTTCTCTCCATCCCCCTATGAACAGCCAAGGCCATGATGACAATTCGCACAAACTATGCACTGAAGAAAAATTGGATGGGTGATCCTTGTGCACCAAAAGAGTTTGCTTGGGATGGCTTGAACTGTAGCTACCCTTCAACTGGTCCTGCACGGGTAACAGTCCTGTAAGTTGTAAAACTGCAATCATTCTACCATAAAATCTCTCAAGCCTTGCAAACTTGATAGATGCTGAATAAGAGAAAAGAATGTATATTTTCATGTGCCCTGATAGTAACAATTGGTTTGCTACAGGCGCTTAGCATCTAGTGGTTTGACCGGTGCCATTGATTCATCATTTGGAGATCTCAAATCCCTTCAATATTTGTAAGTACCCAGTATCATCTTTTGTACATTATGACTTTTATGACCCCTTCAGGTTGTCATCTCCATGCCCCTATAATATTAGCTACTATTTTCGTTTATGGAAACTTGAAGTAGCCAAACATTTAACTTTTACTTATCTGTACTCATGCTTGCATTAGTATTTTTATAAGAACCATATGTGATTCCAGGGACCTGTCCAATAACAGCCTATCTGGTCCAGTACCTGCTTTTCTAGCACAAATGCCATCACTCACCTTTCTGTAAGTATTCCTGTTTATCTAAAATAATATCATCACAAATTGCATTAATTATTAAGCATGTACTGTGAATCCACAGTGATTTGTCAAGCAATAACTTCAGCGGTTCAGTACCTGCAGATCTACTAGAAAAGGGCCAAAATGGATCTCTTGTATTAAGGTTTGTATCATGCAACCATCTTGTATTGCGAGAGTTCACTTAACCAGAGACCTGTCTAATACAGTCTATCTGGTTCAGTACCTTTTTTCACATTTTATTTATAAAATTTAATTAACTAAGGCAGTGTTGCATAACACTAGGATCGGTAACAATGCCAATCTGTGTGAGAATGGTGCTTCTAACTGCGACATGGAGGAAAGCAACAGGACACTTGTCATTGAAATAGTTGTTCCAATAGCAGTAGCGACTATACCATTTGTGACAGCATTTCTAATCGCTCATAGAATCAGAAAGCCACAAGGTAACACTTCACAAGGAAACAACTGAATCAGCACTTGCTGAAGATTGTTCATCCAATACCTCATATGACTGCAGGTAAATGGATGGATAACAATTCAAGGCTTAGTAGCCCTCGAGACAGATCGGACGTATTTGACCACAGACAGTTCACCTACAAGGAGCTGAAGCTCATGACAGCAAACTTCAGGGAAGAGAGAGGGCGAGGAGGGTTCGGTCCTGTATTTAAAGGCTACTTAGATAATGAAACTCCAGTTGCTGTCAAGATGCGTTCACAAACATCTTCTCAAGGGAATAAAGAATTTTTAGCTGAGGTCTGAAGTTCATTTGAAACTTAACTTTGGCAAGCATTTGAAAATCAAACTTAAACTAATGTTCTTGTTACATATTGCAGGCTCGACACTTGACCAGAATTCATCATAGAAATATGGTTTCCTTAATTGGATATTGCAAGGATAAGAAACATATGGCCCTTGTCTATGAGTAATTGAGTACATGGATGGAGGAAACCTGGAGGACCGTCTAAGAGGTAAGTAAGCACCTCCCTCGCCACCTTCAGAAACAATAAAGTCACCTATAGGTGCTGTTGTTTACTTGAACGTACACTTCACTAGGTACTGAAATTCAGATTTATATTTCAATTTCACCAAACACACATTTCGAAGACTTATGTTAAAAATATACATGTACAGAAATGAAAATAACACTTCTTGCGTAAAAAAAAAAGAAAAAAATAACACTTCTTAATTGTGGGATATTTGGTTGGTAATAGTTTGAAAGAGATTCTAGTGTGATCAAGTTTCCTAATCTGATACTTGCTAGCTTTCTGTTTTGTACATCCTCTCAATTGTGATTTTGGCATGAGTGTCCATAATCAATGGACATACGCTATGGAGAAAAAAAAACAGGGGCACACCCTTGACATCATAATTGACACATGTTATAGCCATGTTTCATAAACAAACCACATGATTTTTTTTTTCTTTTTTTTCCTTGTTTTGCACAGACCTGCTACAACCAGTATGTTGTAATACCTATCACAGGAGAGGCCTTTGGTGCTACAGCCCTCACTTGGCATCAGCGTCTCAAGATTGCCTCGACTCTGCACATGGTCTGTATGACTGTGTACCTGAAATTGTAATGCAATAGTACGAGATCAGTAGGGGTGGGCCTAACTGAAGTCATGGGTATTCAGTTGAATACCCATTATTTTTGCCACAAAAAAATGTGTATATACTGTATATGCTATGTACATGCATTAAAACAATGAAATGACAAAAAAAAATGGCATGCTTTAAAGCATTCAACCCAAAATCAATTATACTAGTAATATGTGGTGCTATAATTAATTGTACATGCCAAAAACTAGGATTTAGGCTGTCAAAAGAAATCCTTTTTTTTAATACACTCTCCAAATCCTGGGCCTCCCCCTGATATAACATAGTTTATTTTAGTTGGGCACATATTTGCTCACTTGGTGCTTATAGTAGTTAACATAACATTGGCATAACCTTACACACTTGACCAAGCTTGGGTAGCTTCTACATATCTACGTCGTGCTTCACTGCTTGCAAACTAATTACAGCTGCTGCATGTTAATGCAGGACTAGAGTACCTTCATAAGTCATGCCAACCACCACTGATCCATAGGGACGTGAAAACTAAGAATATTCTTCTATCTGCCAATCTCGTTGCTAAGATTGCTGACTTTGGGTTGATGAAAGCATTTGCAGATGAGTTTAGGACCCATGTTACCACCCAGCCCGCAGGTACCCTGGGATACCTGGACCCTGAATACTACAATACATCCCAGCTTAGTGAAAAGAGTGACGTGTACAGCTTTGGAGTTGTGCTACTAGAGTTAATAACTGGCCAGCCATCGTCAATCCCTGTCAGTAACACCGAGAGCATCCATATTGCACAATGGGTGCGCCAGAAGCTCTCAGAGGGTGACATTACAGGCATTGCTGACCCGAGGATGGCAGGGGAGTATGATGTAAACTCTGTCTGAAAGGTTACAGAGTTGGCACTGCAGTGCAAAGAACAGCCATCACGGAAACGACCAACAATGACTGACATTGTCATGGAGCTGAAAGAGTGTTTAGAGCTGGAGGTAGCTCATGCCATGAGCTATGACAGCTCAGTACCCAGCAGTGCAAACAACCTCAGTGCAACAAGTGGTGACTTGCACAATGATGCTCAAGCAAGTTATCATCTGGGACAGCAAATTGTGCCTGAGCTGGAGCAAGTTGGTGAAGCTTCAGCATCTCACGTAGGTCCAACACCAAGATGAAATTGAGACGAAAGAGGTTTGTGTCTTTTAGTTGTCTAGGGGTCCCTTTGTATGTAAGTTGAGAATGAATTGGAACTTTATGCATGCTCTGCAACTTTTAATTTGATTTGTTGAACACGCAACTGATCCCCCAATCCAGTAGAGTAGTAGACCAGATATGGAAAGTGTTAGAACGGAAGATACATTTTCCAATGTATCGGTTTGTTTTGTCCCCAGGTATCAGGTTTGGCCTCGGTGCTAAGACTTGTATTGCATGGCTACACTCATTCACCAGTTGGATGTTAGAGGCCGGAATATTTTTCCTTAATCTAAAAAAAGACAAGTAGACACATCAAAAACTCGATCAACAGCCACTCAAACTGGGCATGTTGTAATACGGACTTTCTACAAAAAAAAAATGGTAATACAGAACACTATTCTGACCACTACGTCAATGAAGAATTTCATCAACATCTACCTGATGCAAACATGCAGTTTGTGCATTAGCAATTTTCAATGCATTATATTTACCTACACTTTAATGCAGATTAAGCAGGTTGCCATTGGAGAAATACACTCATGGCCTGCTAACGACAAAATAATGCACCATAGAGAAACTTTAAATGAAAGCACCATAGACAAAACAATACACTACAAACATGCAGTTTGTGCACAAAATCAGTTGGTCAGCTTTCTTGGTTGGACCCCAGGATCGATCAGATTGCTAACTGTTCAGATTTGCTACGGCATTTGTAAAACACACATTTCTGACAAATCTTAACCCTCCCATCTAAAAGTTCAGACCATCCTGCAGAATAGGAATTCTGGAGTTTAGGGAGTCCTAAAAGGATGCTATTGTCGACCTACCTAGATGAAACGCACACAATTCTTGAACCAATAGGGGTTAAATCGATAAATTTTGGTTGGAGGAAATTCATTCCAGCAGCTCAATAAAACAGTTCAACCATGGACCTCAACATTTTCTAAAAAGGGGGGCGTACCCAGTGCAGAGAGCTCCCGCTCTGTGCGGGGTCTGGGGAAGGGTGTCAGTGGCAACAAGTCTTACCCTCGCCTGTACAATGCGAGGAGACCGCGACTCGAACCCGGAACCTTCCGGTCACAGACGGTAAGACTCTACCGCTTGCACCAGGTATGGACCTCAACATTTTCTAGTATAGGAAAAAAAACAGAGGGACTTCATTTAAGTTCGTTGGTTTTAATTTTGAGGACTTGGTCTAAGGGGGTACCTCAACATGCTTACCACAGAAGCCATTACACCATCTGCAGCTGCAAACCAATACTGTTAAATGGTGACAGCACAGCGAATCCCTAGCTAGTCTATCACTGACTGACTGCCTACAAGATACAGCTGGTAAATGCTAGACTTAACCATTTGTCAGAGTATTTTGCAACAAAAGAAATCAGGAAACCAGCTTGTAGCTCTCCATGGTACTCAAATCCTTCCGGTTTCAGAATCCTGAAACTGGAGAGGAAGCAAACACCTGAAATAGATACCTACCTAGTATGCGTACTCGATCCTCAGGGATGATCTGATCTTCGCAGAGATCAATCCGTTCTAGAGCGCAAGATCAACGCCTGAGAAAGAAGTGAACGCAGATTGTGCAGTAGAGTGGAACTCACCGCCGGCGGCGGAGCGGCACGAGACGGGAAGGCCGGGAACTGGCCAACCGGCGGCGAGGCTGGCCCAGAGCAGGCGTTTCTTGTCGGGTCGATAAAGGCCCGATCAAGCCTTGTTGTCAGGCCCATCGTCTACGGGGGTCCCGGCCGACTTCCCATTTGGACCTAATGGACGTAGTGCTTGAGCTGCCATTGGAGTTGGCCCAGCACAAGGATTCTTACATGACGCTGCATGGTCCATTGGACATCATGGCAGTAGCTGTCTTCATCATGATCACAAATTTAGGTCCCCTTTGCATGGAAGGATAGAGAAAATGTAGGTATAGGAAAAATATAGGAATTAATGTGCCATGTTTCCTCAAACAAACACAGGAAAATAAATGAGAAGCCCTTTGGTAGCATCACAAGAGAAACAAAGGATACAATAGTTTGGATTTGATTTGAACAGCTGAATGCAACTAGGATTTGAACAACTAGGAAAGTCAGTAGTCAGGCCCGCTGCAGTGCACCAAGCTCGCCAACAGAGCCCGCACTGCAGTGCTGCAGCCTCGTCAGGCCACGCCCAGAGATGGCGACAGGCCCGATAGCCACCACGCCCAACCCCAAGGCGACAAGGGCCAGGAGGGAGCCGCTGCGTCCCCGGAGCAACAACGCAGCCGCGGCTCCGGCTCCAGTCGTGGCGAGCGCCAGGCGCGCGCTGGCGGCATCCGCGCGCGGAGACGACGCCGGCGGTAGTGCTGAAGTCGTCGTCGCTGCATCTCCGCATGAAGGACGAATCGGCGGAGGCACCGCCCGACGCCCGTGTTCGTCGGGCCGATGGGCAGGGAGCTGCTCCCGCCGCCGTCCTCCAACTACGAGGCGTGGGACCTCTCGGACAGCGAGTCCGCGCCGGCCTCCTAGGCCACGCTCCCCAACAGGTACGCCGCGCCGAGCAGCCCGGCCCTTTGTTCCCTCCGCCGCCGCCGCAGGTCCACGGAGGAATGCGCAGATGCATGGACCCGTACTGCGTTGTGGCTGCGAGCGCTGGACTAGGTGGCCGGAGATGGGGTCAGGCAGATTCCGTGGCTGGCGATGGGGACGAAGATGACCGAGCAAGGCGCGCGAGAAGTACGAGATTTGGCTCCAGGAAATTTTCCAAGAGGTCTTAACCTCATGTTTCTTTTCCTGTGAAATCAGGGCATAAGAATGCAATCCTAAGGAATTCTTCCTTTACTTTCCTATGAACCAAAGGGCTAGATAGAAAAAATCCTTAGAAATGTAAATCCTCCAAAAATCCTATGTCAATCCTTCAATCCAAAGGGGCCTTACACTAGAAACAGAAGCGCGGCCTTGCCGCGCCAACATTTTGATTGTTGACAGTGTCCGTACCATCGCCACTGTTATAAGTTCGATCGATGGCCCAATTTATTTATAATGTGTTCTTTAGCGGCAACAGATGGATGAGAGTTGGGATATGGCTGATAATATAAAAAATTAATATAAGTTATATATTTGTGATTAAATTACAGTTATATTGTGTCATCCAGTAAATATCCATACAAATCGATGGATGAGCGTGGTTTTGATTTCAGCATGTAGACAATATTTCCACAAATGAAAATTTTTAAAGATGACAATAATTTAAAAAATGAAGGCAGAGAAAACATAATATTAACATTAGATAAAGAAAACATTGTTAATACTAAAATAGCACTATGAGGGCTGAGCTCAGCACTGGTTAAGCATGGATATCTCGATTGCCCAATTCGCGATTGCCCAATTCGAAAGCATATCCCATGCATATAATTAGTGATCTGTTGTTCAATATAACATATGAAGACGTAATGAATAATTCAAGGAATGGGTAAAATTCCATGCTTCTTCAGATCTGCTTCTAGCTAGCAGCTTTGCCTGAAATTTATGAGCTGAATTTAGAATGTAACAATAAAATTTAGTTTAAAATTTATTTTGTTTATATCGGTTGCTTCCATTCTCAGATCGAGCAACTTTTACACTCAACCAGCTATATGATAACTTGATAAAAATACTGAAAATTCATGAACCTCAGTTTACAGGATATTACTCATAATTCATGAAAATTCATGAACCTCAGTTTACTATATTATATATGTAGGTACTGTCATCTAGAAACAGCAACACTCTATTTACAGGAAAAATTCTTAGAAATTGAAAATAAGCACCATTTGGCTAAGACTATACTCCAATATGCAAACCTAAATCGGAAGTGAAGTGAAAATGGTTTTAGCTGCAAGAATAATACAAAATATGATAAGTTATGTAAAGATTTTTTTGAGAGTGCCTATTTGTCCAACCTTCTATTTTCAGTGCAATAGTCACAAAGGAGGTGCTTCTTAACTTTAGGGAAGAACTGAAGATATCTCTGGATGTATAATCCAGAAATCATTGGTACTGTGAAACTCATATTCCTCCTATGGCCTTGCAAATTTTAGCATTTCTTGTATGACACTGTGTCCGAATTTCTTTCCCTATATGATTATGTGGTTCAAATGCCTATATGTAACCGTAATATTATTTATTTATATTGTAATCCAACAGCTATCTCGTAATTGTAACATATAGTGCACGTGTTTGTTAATACAAAAATTTATCCTTGAAGCAATCAATTGAAAAGAACTAATTTGGTTTTAGACACATTTTACTAAAGTCTCAAACTTCAGTTAGATACAAACCCAAAATATCTAGCTGATCAGAACCTGCTTTACTATAATATTGGAAGTTATCACAAGCAATCAACAATTTATTAAGTAGCTTGTGGAGGTGCTAGTCCCAATAACATGATTAGCATTTTAAGCGGCCTTGAGAAGAATAGCGACAACGTATTTGATTTAGGCTAAACTCATCTTAACGGAAACATGGATTCTATGAGCCTAGCTCTAATATTATCGTCAGTTCGCCACCTCTCAGACAAAGTGGTCCAGCTCTGTAAATACCAATCATGGGTCATAGTAATATTTTTGATAGTATCACTGGATGACTGGAATACTACTCTTGAGCTCTATTTCTAGTATGCTAGTCTAGCTATTCATTCTTCTAAAAAGGACCCAGCTAATGACTCTTGCAATTACCTTCATCAGATGGCTGAGTATGGGATATCTATTTGTGGGAGGAAGAAAAGTGAATGGGACCAAATGGCAAGTTGGATAGTGAACAATGAATTATGAATATAGCGAGAATGTTGTTTGGTTTATTAGGAATGTGGACATAGATGTAATTGGAAGACTTGATATGTATTTGTGATTTGTTATTGGAAAATCTGCCAATTGTAAAGGTTTCAGATTCAGAATGTTGTCATAGAAATCAATATGTTTCAGGACTTAGTGACTACGTATATGCTAACTGGATTGGCGCATGTCTGTATATCGAACAAAGGTGCATGGCAATAACTCGCAATTATATTGGAGGCTCCCAAACCTTGTAGGCATTTTATCGAGTATGCGTTGGGCGTGCCCGCAGCTGCTGGGGCGCTAGCTGCTTCGTTCTGCGGTATTGAAGAGAGCAAATGGGATCGAGCAGGTTGTCCAGTGCCGGCAGCGACGCTTACCTTTTTCCCACGGCGGCGACGGTGTGGAGTGCTTGCCTGCATCGAGGAGGAGCTGAGGAAGGTGGGTGGGTCCAGCGACGTGCGCGCGGTCTCCATCATCACTGTTCCATCCAAATCGCACCCAGTCTCCGTCACCGTGAGCAGGGCACCGCTGCCTTTCTTGCTGCGCCCCTCGCATCGCTAGCGTGACGCGAGATACAGAGACATGGAGAGAGGCAGCCGCATGGCATGCTCGCCGTCGACGGGCGCCGTGCGGGGACGGGAGGGGGCTGCGAAATGAAGGGAGGCGGCGCACGGGATTGAGCCGGAGGAGGGGGGTCGCTACGCCACGAGAGACGAGGAACGGCAGGTGACGATGGTTCGAGGCTTTAAGCTGGTGTCGTCCCACACGAGCGAAGGCAGGAGTCGCGAACTCTCAGGAGAAGCCAGTGCAGTCGTGCAGAGGTTTGGTTTGACGGCCCGATGAAATTGCTACTCCGGATCCAACGGTGTCGAGCTTTAGACACGTGGCCAAATAATATGCGAGATGCTATGGTGCAAGTTTCGTCTTGTAGAAGATTCTCAAGCATATGCAGCACAGCAGAGCAAAGAATCACTGAGTCACTGTGCTCATCATGATCACAAACTCACATTCTCAAGCATATACAGCACACTTGAGTACAAATCACAAAGCTGTTACATCACTCATCGTGTTGAATGAAAGGGAGGATGCAAATAAATAGTTTTTGTTCTTACATCAGAATTCTCATAAATGAGCTGGAAATTATACATAGTTCTGTACTTGGCACAAAGGGACTCAAGAACCAGCAAGGATATAAGTCATATGAAGAAATACATACAAGTATGAAGCATCCTATCAAGTATTTGGAACAGAGCACAATCCATGTTGTAATACAGCCCTTCTACAAAGAAATTGGTAATACAGAATACTATTCTGAACACTACGTCAATGAGGAATTTCATCAACAGCTACCTGATGCAAACATGCAGTTTGTGCATTAGCAATTTTCAATCCCGCTATCTCCATACTCCATAATAGCGTTATATTCACCTGCACCAAAACTGCAGATCAGGCAGGTTGCCATTGCAGAAAAATACTCATGGTCTGCTAATGACAAAACAATGCACCATAGAGAAACTTTTGATTAATGCACCCCACCATTGACCCCAAAAAAAAACCGTACAAACATGCTGTTTGCGCACAATATCAGTTGAAGGAGCAGAGGCTGCATGCAAAGGAGTCGAATAGTCACGACTCACGAGCCTTTTAGAGTTCCACGGTGGTTAACGCACACAATTCCACATCGTTATGACGAATTAGGGCGTGTTTGGGACTGCTCCGCTCCACGTTTTTCAGCTTCGCTCCACGTTTTTTAGCCAAACGGTTTTAGCTCCACACACTCTGCTCCAGGAAAAAGGGTGGAGTTGTGAGAGCACCTAAAGAGATACTCCACAAACTCCAGTTTTTTGTGGAGCTGCTCCACGGTGGAGTTTGTGGAGCAGAGTTTGTGGAGCAGTCCCAAACACCCCCTTAATACTGTGACTGCATTACAACGATTGTGAAGAATAATCTAAGCATCAGTTGCAACACAGAGGAGCAGAGCTTCATTGACACCAACGTGGGCCTGTTAGTTTAAAGACATAATTAGTTTCGTTTAGACCTTGTTAGAATTTGACCCAAATTCCGTCACTGGAAACAGTATCAAAAACGGCTGCAAATGCATAAAACCAAAGTTGCAATTTAACAAACAATTGAAGATTTAGAAAAAGAAAAAACCTCCACTGTCTCAATAACAATCAAACATATATTTTAGGACGTCCCTTGTCACAATCATAAACACGTGCATGGCCACTAGTAGGTAATATTATACTTTCAAAAGAAACTAGTAGGTAATATTAAAGACTAATGACATGACATCATATATCATGCCAAACCAAGCTACTGTATGTACAACCGAATATTTAGTTCCATGCACCAACATAGCAACACTTGACCAACGATAAAGGCTCTCCAAAAACAACGCATCTAAGAAGGAAATGACATGCATGTGCATCACTGTTGGTCAGACCATAGGTATTTACCATGTAGACCAAGTTCTTCTTGTATGGAAGAGACTTAACCCAAATCATTATCATTACTCATTCACATCCTTTTTTTGGGTAGAATTGAAGGGTGACTTGGCTAATATATTGAGTGGCTCCATTGAACATAACTTCCTCTTTGATCGGTTAGCAAAAGGGCATATTTTATTTCCTCCTAGGCTGACCACCCTTGGATAGCAATCTTATATTTTGATTCCTCCACGGCAATATGTTTCGTTGTTGCTTGCTGTTTCTCGGATCACCCCTTTACCCTTAAGTACTAAATGATCAGAAGTAGAACCCAGTATCCCATTTGTTCTTGATTGAACCATACTATTTTCATGTGTTGTCTGCACAGGAGTGTGTTCCAGTGGCTCCTCGATCAGTAGTTGCTCGTCAATCAGAGTCTCAAGAGCTGCTTCCTCTGTTCCAATTGTACTCTCCATGGGCTCATGGTATGTGGAATCATCGATTTCACTGCTGGGTCCAGAACAGTCACAAGTGGAAAGAGGCCTATGTTGTACATAAGGTCTGGGTGCCTCATGAGCTAGCTGCCCTTGGATGACAACCTCCTCATGCCCTGATTCCTCTGGTGATGCAAATGGGTTCTTAGGCTCATTGCCCACCGGATCATTGCAAGTTATGAAAGGCAAAACGATCGGCCTGCTAGGGTGGTTTGATGCTGCTGCTTCCCATTCTTGCCTTAATGGATCACTGACTTCAGGATGAAGTTCGATTTCCTGGAGCATTCTGAGGTGTCTAATTTCAATACCCGAAGGACCAGTTAGATGCTTACATAGTAGTTGGAGTGAGACAAGTTCTGGAAGTGCTCCTTCTTCGACTATGGGGAGGACAGGGTTCTGATGTCGCACAAGAAAACACAGCCGTCGCAAGCTTTGGAAAGTGCCACCTTTAATGACGAAACCATCAATCTCATCAGCTATCAGTTTGAGATAAAGCAATAATGGCATTTCACTAAGCACAGACAAAAGATTCCTAGAAATAATGGCAGACGAAAGGCACAGTTCAGTGAGTCCTGAAAGTATGCCAATAAACTCAGGATATGTTGATAAGTTGTCATGGAGTTTTAGTGAGCTGAGATAATATGTTTCCTGCAAAGATGTGCCATGAGAACAGAGTTCTTGAAGAGCATTCAGTGATCCTCCTGGTACTCCTTGAAAATCGATTGACAGGGAGCGAGCATCTCCAGCACCCATGGGAGTTTTGATGTATTGCCCAATGGCCTTTACCAGTTCAGCCTTCAAGTGGTTATTGTCTCCGACATCTGCAGTAGACTCACACCATATCTTCACCTTTTTCAAGTTCTACATATGGACCATGAGTTGCAGAAATCCTTGCTTTTGGCTCCCATCATCAACAAATCCTGCTAGGGTCTCAAGCTTGCTTTTCCTGAATAGGTCTTCAAGTCCTTCATTTTTAGACAGTCTCTCCATTTTACAACTCAACATCGAGTACCGATCTAAAAGCTTAAACTTTCCAATCAGATTAACCAAACAAGGAAGCCCAATGACTTCCACTGGCAGCACATTTACAACCGTTTTGCTCAGAACGAGCGTCTCCAACAGTTTGAGCTTCGCTATTTCCTTGGGAAGATTTGTAATATTGCAACTGAGGCTCAGATATCTCAGATTCCAAAGCTTGCATATTTTCCTGACATGGCTATCGTTCATGTCGGTGCATTCTTCAAGATCCAAGACTCTCATAAGTTTATACTTGCCAAGATCAGAAATAGCACCACCAGCATTCCCACTGACTGTCAGAGACCGGACACGAGATAAGTCCATCTTCATGGTTTTTGTGGACTTCGTGTCATCACAAACATGACCATTGACGAAGAGATGACGAACTATTTGGTCACTGGGAGCATGAGAGCACATGATGAATTTCTCATGCAGCTTGAGAGGGCCACCACCTTCTGCTTGAGAGATTGCCAGCTGACCAAGCAATTGCTGAGGAAGAACATGGTTCCGCTTGTGCTCTTGCTTGTGTTGATGTCGTCGGCGAGGTCGCTGTCACAGTAGTCGACGAAGCGCCTTGCTGGGAGCCCTTGCGTAGTGTAGACCGTAGTCGAGGGTGCCCGCCTCGTACCGGAGTATGCGCTTGACCGCCTGTAGGTGCTCCACCGTGGGCCACTCCATGAACCGACTCACGCTGCCGATGAGCCGTCGGTAGTGTGTGGAGTCCACCTCCTCCGCCGAGCTGTGACGGCTGAGCCTCAGCCTTTCCTCCATCGGGGTGTGAGTTGGGTTGCAGCCAGCCTGGCGCCGAGCTCGAGGATGCGCTTGGCGTAGTGTGTCTGACGGACGGTGATGCTGTTGGCATCTTGGCACACTTCGATGCCGAGGTAGAAGCAGAGGAGGCTGAGGTCACTCATGTCGAACACCTTCTTCAGCGCCGGTGATGATGAGATCGTCGACATAGACGCCGACGAGCAGGACAGAGTGCCCGCTGCCCCGCCGGTACACCACCGCCTTGTGCACGCTCTGCTGGAAGCCCATCTCCTTGAGTGTGGCGTCTAGCTTCGCGTTCCAGGTGCGTGGAGCCTGCCATAGGCCGTGGAGAGCCTTGCGCAGGTGGTACACCTCGCCTTCTTCTCCGGCGACGGCGAAGCCTGGCGGCTGGCGCACGTACACCTCCTCCTTGAGGTCGCAGTTGATGAAGGCGGACTTCACGTCCATGTGGTGGACTCGCCACCCCTCCTGAGCTACCAGCACGCGAGGACCCAAATCGACTCCATGCGCGCCACCGGAGTGAATGCATCATCGTAGTCGACCCCCCTCTTGTTGGACGAAGTCGCGCGCCACTAATCGCGCCTTGTGCTTGATCACCGCGCCTTGCTCGTCCTTCTTGGGCTTGAACACCCATTTCAGGGTGATGGGGCCGTTGCCGTCGGGCAGATTGGTGGAGCAGAGGATGCAGCAGCCGGGGACGCAGGTGGTGTAGCCGGTTGAGGCGCTGATGGAGCGGCCACTACCGTCGATGAGCCTCCGGGCTCCCCCGGATTTGATGATAGCGAGCGCGGCGGAGTAGGTGATGTAGTCGGCGCTGGTGACTACATCAGTAGATGATCCAGATGCCGACGGAGACGCACTGGGTGCTCCTCCTTGTAGAGAGACAATGCACTGCACACCCAATAGGGGGGGGGTGGCCTTTCATATATATAGCCGAGAAGGCTTGGAGTACAAGTATATGAAGTACAATAAGTCAGGCTATACATATCTATTTATATCTCTAATACCTGCCCGCAGTTGTAGCGGGATGATCTCGGATGCAAAGACTGGACCTAAAATCAGTAAACAACTGTACAGGCAAGCCTTTGGTCATAATGTCCGCGAACTGGTAGGATGAAGGGACATGGAGTACTCGAACCTGTCCTAGAGCAACCTTGTCGTGAACAAAATGAATGTCAATCTCTATATGCTTCGTGCGGCGATGATGAACAGGGTTACCCGTCATGTAGACTGCACTGACATTGTCACAGTATACAATCGTCGCCGAAGAAAGAGGAGTGTGAAGCTCCTGAAGTAGCTGACGAAGCCAACAAGTCTCGGCAACAACATGGGCGACAGCACGGTATTCAGCTTCCGCGCTGGAACGAGGAACTATAGTCTGCCGTTTGGATGACCAAGACACCAGATTGTCGCCAAGAAAGACACAGTATCCAGACGTAGACCGCCGAGAATTAGGACAGCCAGCCCAATCAGCATCCGAGTATGCGGTGAGAGTGTCAAGAGACCCGGTACCGAGGTGAAGACCTGTAGACAGTGTGCCCTTGACGTATCACAAAATCCGCTTGAGCAGCGCCAGATGAGGCTCACGTGGAGCATGCATAAAGAGACAGACCTGCTGAACTGCATAGGCAATGTCGGGACGAGTCAATGTGAGATACTGTAAAGCACCGGCGAGACTCCGGTATTGTATTGGGTCGGCAACTGGTGAGCCATTGGTGGCAGACAGTTTGGCGCGTGCATCGACTGGAGTGGCTGTAGAGTGACACTCAATCATACCAGCCTGCTGGAGAAGATCAACTGCATACTGCCGCTGTGACAGGAAAAGGCCGTCAGCAGAACGAGCGACAGAAATCCTGAGGAAGTGATGAAGGTCCCCGAGATCAGTCATGGCGAACTCTAAGTTAAGGCGCTCAGTAATATGTCGAAGAAGAGCAAGCGAGGATGCTGTGAGGACAATGTCGTCGACGTAAAGCAACACTGGTGCCCTCCTTGAACACAAAAAGAGAAGTATCTGACACTGAAGCGATGAAGCCCAAGGTCTGAATGAAGGTAGCGAATCGCTGGTGCCATGCCCGAGGTGCCTGCTTGAGCCCATACAAAGACTTCTGTAACAAGCAGACATGGTCAGGTGCAGCCGGGTCAACGAATCCAGGTGGCTACTGGCAGTAAACAGTCTCATTCAGATGACCATGAAGAAAGGCGTTCTTGACATCCAACTGATGAATTGGTCAGGCACGGGACGCAGCAATGCTGAGAACAACTCGAATCGTTGCTGGCTTAACAACTGGACTGAAAGTCTCTTCGTAGTCGATGCCATGCTGCTGAGAAAATCCTCGAACATCCCACCGTGCTTTGTGACGAGCAAGAGAGCCATCAGAGTGATACTTATGCTTGAAAATCCACTTGTCGGAGACAACGTTGGCACGAGGAGGTCGTGGTACGAGTCGCCAAGTGCCATTGTCAACAAGTGCCTTGTATTCGTCCACCATTGCGGCACGCCAATTTGGATCAGCAAGGGCGCTGCGATAATTGGCAGGAAGCGGCGAGGCATGCGTGGCGGAGTAAGTCAGGCGTTCCGGCGGAGGCAGGAGCGTTCCAGTCTGTTGTCGTGTCACACAGCGCGATGGAGCAGCAGCGATCGGCTCAGGTGCGTGAGCCGGCTGAGGCGCCGGTGGAGGAGGCGCGACCTGTGCCTGGGGCACAGATGACGGTCGAGGACGTCGGCTGTACTGGAAGAACACCGACGGGCGTGATGCAGCAAGGGCCGGCAGACGTGCTGCTCCCTGAGCAACAGGCAGGACGTCAATAGCAGAGGATGCGCCAGGAGGAGCCGGTGTAGGGGCAGCAGGACCCTGAAGGACCGGACCATGCCAGATGATGGCCGGGTCCAGTTCCAGGGTGTCGTCGTCGTCGAAGGTCGGCCGAGTAGAGAGCCGGCCCGGAGCGCCAGCAGGAGGAGCTGGCACAGGTGCAGGAAGACGATCCTGTAATAAAAAATCAAGTGACTTCGTAGGTGGTTTGGCAACCGCAAACAAAAAGTGAGTCTCATCAAAAATCACGTGACGGGAGACGATCACTTTGCGAGTGGAGAGATCGAGACAACGATAACCCTTTTGTGAAGAGGGATACCCAATGAACACGCAAGCTGATGAGCGAGGAGCCAATTTATGAGGTGTCGTGGCACTAAGATTTGGGTAGCATAAGCAACCAAAGACTCGAAGCAAGGAGTAGTCAGGCATCTTGTGATAGAGGAGGTGATAGGGAATACCATTATTGATGGAGGAAGACGGTCGCCGATTGAGTAGAAGAATGGCGGTGGCTAAGGCTTCGGCCCAGTAAGCTGAAGGCATGGCGGCATGAATCAAGAGGGTGCGAACGATATTGTTTAGCGTGCGCAACATCTGCTCAGCTTTCCCATTTTGAGCAGACGTGTAAGGGCAAGAGGTGCGAAGAAGAATGTCGCGGCTAGCAAGGAAGGTAGACGTGGCATTGTTGATGAACTCAGTGCCGTTATCCGCCTGAAAACACTGGACAGGCAGGCTGAATTGGGTGTAAGCATAATTAGCAAAATCAACAATATGTGCATGAACCTCTGATTTATGCCGAAAAGGAAACGTCCAGCAATAATGACTATAATCATCAACAAGCACAAGATAATATTTAAATCCAGACACGCTAAGAGCTGAAGATGTCCAGACATCACAATGAACAAGTTGAAAAGGTGCTGGGCAGCGAAACGATGAACTAGTAAAAGGCAGCCGTCTGTGTTTGCCAAGTTGACAGGCGTGACAAATACCACGGGCTACATTATTACAAGAGATAGCTGAAAATTTATTAAGGGTAGCTATGGCTGCAGGTGCAGGATGACCAAGACGTGAATGCCACAATGAGGAGGAGATGGCGGCGACATGACAGGCTGCAGCAGGCTGACTGGAATGTGGAAGGGTGTAGAGCTCCCCGCCACTATTGCAACGCAGAATCTCGGTCTTGGTCTGCAGATCCTTAACAGAGAAGCCAAAAGCATAAAACTCAATGGAGCAATTATTGTCGCGAGTAAACTGACGAACAGATAACAAATTGCGAATAAGATGTGGAGCGACAAGAACATTATTGAGTTGAAAAATATGATCAGCTATAGGAATAATGGAAGTGCCACGACTAGAAATAGGAATGGAGGCCCCATTGCCGACTGTGATGAAGGACGGCGATTGAGGTAGACGGGAAAGAAGTATACCGTTGTGGGAGGACATATGAGATGTAGCTCCTGTGTCGAGGACCTAGGGGCTGGCGCCTCCCTGCAGTGCCATCTGGTTGAGGGAGGCGATGAGAGCGCCCTGATCCCAGCCACCGGACGTAGAAGGCGGTGCGAAGGACGTGTGGGCCTGCGGCAGGGGCACCATTGGAGGACGCCACTGCGGCTGAGGAGCCCACGGAGAAGGACCAGCCCATGGGGCCGGGGCCGGGACGCTCGCCTAGGAGGCCCGGGGACGCCGCGGGTGGCTGCTGGTGGCGGCTGCCACCGCCGTTGTTGCCTCCATGAGCACCATAGCCGCCCTTGCCCTTGCCCTTGCCCTTGCCGCCGCCCCCCACTGCGGTTGGGGTTGGTGCTGGAGGACGAGGAGCGGCAGGAAGGGGAGATGCAGGTTGTGGTCGCTGAAGTCGTGGATGGGGCGACAGTAGTAAGGGCGGTGTCGGAGGAGACATTGGCGTCGTTGGCGAGGCGGATCTCCTTGAGCCGAAGGGTGTTGTGTGCGGAGATGAACGACGGAAGGACCGCCATATTGGCGATGATGTCCGCCGTGTTGGCGAAGCGCGGATTGAGTCCGCGAAGAAGGTTGAGGACTAGCTGGGGCTCGGAGACGGTGTGGCCAACGTCGTGGAGAGCGTCGGCCGTGTGCTTCATGCGC